CCTCTCTGTCACTGCAACCCCCTCCTCTTTAGTCTTAACTGTCCCGCTGGCTGATTTAAATCCTCGCCTAGAATTGAGAGAGAGAACTTGTTCAGCATGAGACGGTCGATCTGGACTGAGCACCTGACCGCGCACCCGCCGGCGTCCCGCCGCAGGCTGCACTGCCCCTGACATCCAGCCGGACCAAAGTGGTTTCACCCAAGTGACTGACACTTCCATCCACAGGGCCCCCCCCCAGCTGCTCCCGGTTGGAAGGGCTGGAAATGCGAAATATTAGATTTACTTTATGGCTGGTCAGGGAAGGGATTGTTAGGAAAATCAAATGATTTATAAGAAAAAGAAGAGAGGTACACTAGTTTCAGCTCCCCGGTATGGACGCGATTCTTGCAAGGTTGCCTTATTTTAATGGTTTTACTGCTTCTAAGTGTTGCCCGCCACCTTACTGTGGATTGTACAGCATCGAAAAATTACCACTTACCACCTCACTATTTCCAGCAGAGGCCACTACACGGTGCTTTGTCTGCCAAAGTGTCCTCCATCCCCCCCCCCCCCCCCCCCCCCCCCCCACCTCTATACAACTGTCTTCCAGCTGTCACTTAGTCTGTTACAAGCCCTGTAAAATCTTCCACACGTTTTCAACTCGGGGCTTTTTTACGTTGGAAAAAAACAGCCCCCATACGAGCTCCTTTTAGGGTCTTTTCTCTCCCCCGTTACACATGCTGCATCCATCTGTTGGACATCCTTCCGTCAGCCACACCACAGGGGGTGGAAGTCACCGATCCGGATTACTTGAAGAGGCGGTTGGTTGTGGGGGAGCCCAGGCTCAGATGTTCGGCCTCCTCGCCGCTTCCTCCCTGTTCCGCGCGTCCACCACAGGCACGAACACTACCCGGTGTGGTCAGGTACAGACGGCGAGGTGTGAGCCGCCCGAGCACACAAGCAAACTGAAAAACAGGACCGTTCGTTCACATTCAGCCGCGTTGATAAGAATCTTCATCCAGCCCCCGAACTGATGATATCAAGTAAAACTAATGTAAATGTGAATTTTGGCAGGTGAAGAGGAATGCTCTCTGCTCCCTTCTACGTTTTATTGTTTATAGAACAGATTATATATATTTGCCTTACATGTGTACGTCTTTTTTTTTTCTTTTTTCTTTTTTTTTTAAACAATTAATTTGATTTTTTTTAAATTTTTTTGTGTTTTTTTTCGCTGTGTTTCTCATGCTGTTGTGCTGGAGTCGGGCTTTTAACCATCTGGATTTCAGAAGCATAAAAAGGGAAAGTTCTTTAGGTTTGTAGTGTTTCATGTTGAAATGAAAGAATAGTTTTTTTTTTTTCCTTCCTCTCATTACTCTGGCAGACACATTTGCCAAGATAATGAGGGGCAACATTTCCAACGACAAGCTGGTCAAATTAGACAAACTAATGGACGAAGTCGGTCTTCAGTGTTTCCTCAGATGCTTTGTTGGTTATTGTGGAAATGCATAAAATGATTTTTTTATTTTTTATTTATCCCTTTTTTGGGGATGGGGAAATTAGATTTATCAAGAATTTCTAGGGAAAGCAAAGTCTTAATAAACCTTGAAATCCATATGTGAATTGAAATGACCCGCTGATGGACTAAAGTGTGGGTCCAGTCCCCCCCCCACCTCCCCCATCTTAATTGAAAAAGAGAAAAAAAAGAATTTTTAAGTGAGCCCATGCCTGTGTTTACCAACAATGATAATTTAGCCCACTGGTTCCATAAGTGGATTTGTCATTGTCCTGTGTTTGTTTTCCCCCCCCCCCCTTTTTTTCCCTTCAAAAATTCCAAACAAATTTGTATTTGCTTCCCTCCCCCCCCCCAGCTTGCTCGAAGCTTCCCTTGATATACCTTTAGGGGTGGTAGGGATCCGTGTTGGACTGAACTGAAACGAGAACTACAAAATATTGAGAAAAAACTTCACTTTCTCTGAAAACCATTGAAGCCTTTTTCTGAGCGAACTGGGCCTGAACGACCTCCCTCACCCCCTCAGAACAGTCTGATTTGGGAGTTTACAGCCTTCTTTTTCAGCGTTGACTTGCTGCTAGATGTCCGTACGAACTCTAGGGGGAGCTGCCTACTCGGCTTATCAAGTTTCATGGGGGCACGGCCTGCTGTCTGGACACTAGGAAGATGAAGATGGACTTGAAAGGACACACGGGAGGGGCCAAAAAAAAAACAAAAAAAAAAAAGCCTGACTGGGGTTTGTGATGTCACCCAGAGGAATATGGCTAGTTCTAATGTCTGCCTGAAAAAAAGGACAAAAATTCCATAAAGCCATATGAAAAAGAAATGACTGTATATGAACCATTAAATAGTTCATTGCATTACAATATCCTAGGCTTGTTACAAGGAAAAAAAGATGAAAATGAGGAAAAAAGGAACAAAAAAAATATATAAAATGGAAAAATGTAAAATACTTGAATGAAATCTTGTATTATAACATTTAATATTCATAATATCTGCTTTGTAGGCTGACGTGATTCGCTATTAGTGTTATTTGTAATTTGTAGTAATTATGCTTTTCCTTTAATAAAGAAAAAAAACACAAAATGGACAAAAAAACCTCAAACACCCTCTACTGTGATTATTTCTATCTATGAATGCACTAACTGGTTTAGACCTGAAACTAAGAAAGGCATGCTGAAATGTTCAAGTTCCGTGAAAGGAATTGGTGGAATTTCAACCTGCAAGCAGGGAAAGCTGAGAAACGAGAACAGAAATCGTTTTTCTTTAAAAACTCTTTATTCTTTTAAAACAGTCGCACAAGAACATTCTTCACATTTTGTGCGTTGTAGGAGACGCTTTTGTGTTTTCCAGAACAACACATTTAACACTTTAAAGAATGCTTGTGTACCACTGAAATGGAAAGTGCTCCCAGCAACTGTCTTTGACCAGAAAAGACAGATCTTCATTTTAGCTTTAAGTGCTGCAGTTTGTGAGTCTCTGTCTCCACACTATCCCACCACTGTTATTTTGGAAAGGACCACAGAAAAGTTGATGTTGAATCCACCTGAGGAAGTGTTTTTACCCCCCTAGTAACAACAGCTGAGGGGGCTCTCTTTGAACTTTGCCATGAGGGTAAAGGAAAAGTCCCGACTAAAAAAAAAAACCCAGCTTTTTCGGCCTTGTTGCTGAAAAAAACAGATCTGAGTATTTGACCAGACTGTCCTACGCTCCACTGTACATGGTTACTTTTAAATTTCAGTGAGTTTACATTTGTATTGAAGTAAAAACTGAACTTGAAACATGAAATGAATGTTTTCGGACACGCCGTTATCTTATTTTCGATATGATTTTGGGCTCCGTTGAATATTGTTTCTTTGATCAGGTGGTACTAGAACATGAGTAACGGCTCTGCGGCCGTACAGTTACCATGCGCTACAGTGCGCTACAGTGGTCACTTTTTCACAGGGTGAAATGTAAACCCTGTCAACACAGGAGCTGAATACAATTAAAGTGCAGCGTTTTTTTTTTTTTATCGTAAAAAAATTAAGATTCAGAGTACAAAGTCTGGGAAGGGATTCAAAATCGGCCCAAACCCGTTGATTAGAAAAACGGTAAAAACGGATGGAGGTGTTTGTCTGCCCGCCAGAACCACCTGAGGTCAAAGACCGAAGGCTGTGCCGGTCATTACTGGCCCTTCTTGGGTGTGTCGGGGATGGTCTGGGTCAGAGGGGTGAGGCCGGTGAGCAGGGTGTGGCGCTCGTACTGCTTTGTCTGTCTGAATTTGCTGTCGGTGCCGTGGAGCCTGTCCAGAACACCGAAAACCCCAAAACACTGGTTGAACCTGGAACCAGGAGAAAAACGCGAGTCCGGTAGTTAATAAAAGGTGACTAGCTGTGTCAAATTCCTGATTCAATCAATGACGGACCTTTTGAATCTGTATTAAAGGAGTTCTATAATGGTCACCTGAGGTGGTGGAAGTCGTGGAACTCGGGGGAGGGCAGAAAGGGCAGGTGGTAGCCACAGTGGGAGATGGTGGTGCTGATCAGAGCCATACAGTACCACATGGTGGTGGTCGTCACGTGGGAGCCCAGGAGCACTGGCCCGATCACCACGGGCAGCGTGTTGGACAGCTAAAAGCAGACCACAACAGATGCAGTTGGCAGAAAAATATGTGGCAAATAACAAACAAAAAGGCCCTCAACGTGCCAGTGAATCAGGAAATGTCTACCACAATCTTTTCCTTTTTCCATAAGTGTAAAGATGTGAATGAACATGGACGGACTTTTAGGGGTTTATTGACGAGATTAAACATCGCACTTTGGCTGATTAAAGCCTGGCACAGAGTTCAGATCATTTCAATCGATTTAGCTTCTCGTTTGCCCAGATTTAGAGATGGTTAAGAGAAATTGACTTCTCTTTTTAATCTACCCATGACAATTCCAACTTGTTTGGACCAAAACAAACCATCAAGAAAATATTAATTTTTATGGTTTTATGTATTAGTTTGTACGGAAAAAACTGTTTAAAAAAGTGTGCCATGCCATTTTTAATTAACTAAAACCCCGGCAATGAACAGATAAGAGTTTTTATTATGTCTTTATATGGAAATCTTTAGAAGTGATGGATGCTTTTTCACATTCTTTACTATTACTGGATGTTTCAGTTCTATAGGAGGAGATTACTCACCACATGCTCAAGGGGATGGGCATAGATCGAGACAAGTCCAATGGGAGCGGTCCACTCATGGTGCTGTTTGTGGAAATGCTTGTAGAGGCTGGGATGGTGGAACAACCTGAGAAAACAAAAAAAAAAAGAATAGAAATGAAGCTAATATAGAACAACAACATTAAAACTAGCCAGGGTCTGCAGAACTGGTGGTTTTAGGGAGACAGTAGAGACGCAATCTTCTCTACCTGTGTGAATAGTAAAACAGAATTTCCTCCACGATGGAGAACACGGCCAGCTCCATCAGACCCCAGTGGAAGGTGGGCAGCTCAGGGCCGCAGGGGTTTCCTCTCCAGGTCATCAGGTAGTAAACAGCCACCACCATGGGCCCGGAAATAAACACATGGTTGAAGGCGACGGTCTTCACGGCATGGCGCAGCTTGACGGGATCCACCTGCAGAATGACGGACACGTTTACCAGTACCTTCTTTGTTTAAATTCTGGAGTGCATGCTAATTCATCTTAACGCTATTTTTCATCAAACTGAGAATAGGCGTAAACATTCTTTCATCCTGATTTGATATCTAAATTGTGTTAACTTTCATCTGTACTGAAACGCATGCCATAAATAAGTTAAACCAACCACTGGTAGACGAAGGGAGATCAGATTTTCATTTTCCATTTCGCATTTCATTTCATACTTTTTTACAGTCGTCTAGCCATCTTCACCTTAACCTTTGGATATTTGTCATGATCACATGGAGTGGTGCGATAACATTTGGTCCAAGGACACTTTGTACCCGAAGTGTGGCAGATTTGTACATTGCTTTTGTGTGTTCGATAAATTATATTAATAATGTTTAGGTTTTGTTATATTAGCCCTTTCTTTGTATGTGTGTTGGTCAGAATAAAAGCAGCCAGTTGAGCTTTGTAAAGCACAATTAATGAGAAAGAAAGAGGAGGAAATCAACACATTTTCCCTTGTTCATGATGTGTCTGAGTCTGAGATTAAAGGGCTGATCTCAGATTATTTCTGACAAACCCGTATCCTTTGCTTTTTTAATTACTATGACTGCGGTTATGGGTACTGACATGTCACAGTCAGTGACGCATGATATTTTCCCCAATATTAGACAGCAAGTTTAAAAGTTTTTCACACCAAACAATTCTTTTGTTTAGTTTTTTCCAGCATGACTGTGGGATAACATTAAGGCATCTGGTCTTATTTCAGTTTCAAAACCCAATAGGTTTATATCTCTACTGTTTACTATCATATCCCACAATACCACTTTGTGTGTTTCGCTTTCAGGACAGCATAAACTGTCATAGTCCTACTCTGGTTTGCTGTAAATAAACTGAGCAGAATCTCGGTCAAATCTGAGTCTTTTCAAAACTATTCAAATGCCCTCTCTTTTTTGTGCATAACTATCAGGAATTTGTTTCCATACAAAGTTGTAACAGAACTTCACTACTTAACTAATGATCTAGGTTAAGAGATTGTGATATCCTGTTGAACTTTTGCACAACATAACACTCAGTTTCTTCTTTGGGTTCTTTTTTTCTGTCCTTTTTTATTTTTATTTCTATTCATGAAGTTTATACAAAATCTAATTAATTTGAAAAATTATTCGTTTAAAATGTGACATTCTGGGCTATTTTGTCATTGTTACTTCTTACAGGTTTTTAAATAAATAAAATTCTAGTTATACATTAATGAAAATGCCATTGGGACCATGTGGTGGCTGGATCTGAACAGACAGGAATAATGTCCTGAATTAACTGGAGCAAAGTGTCATTCTCCTTGTTATGTTTCAAGTTGCCAGGGACTTTGATACACAATTAAATACACAGACAGAATCCGTGTTGCCAAAGTTGCCTCGCTGGCATATCGCAGCACATCCTGGCCAACTGTACGACCATCGGGTCTCGGGTTCAGACGATTTATTTCGGTCACAAAGCAGCAGGAAGCGCAAAATGGGTGATAAACTGAGGGAATTAAATGTTCCATGAAGAAAAGTTGTGGCCATGATCTTCATGCTGTGTGGGTCATGGAGACAAACCCAATCAAAATGTCACTGGAGATATTTTTACAGCTCCAACACATGAACTTCCTGTGTTATCGTCTGGTAATCATATCCGATAGATAATCACAATGCGACTGCCCTACACCAGTCTTGTTTATCAGTTTTTTTAACCTTTATCGCTGTGGTGTGCAGCAACGTCTGCAAATCAAACACTGAGAGAACTTTGCTCAGAAGCGGACACATCCGCGCACACTGGAGACCCACTTATATGTCACAATAGTTAATGATACACTAAGGCCAGATTGATTTAATCGTGTATGGTTTCAGCTGAACAATATGTCCCATTTACCCTTAAAAAATCCAATGTGTTTATGAAACGACTGAAAACGAGACAAATGATACAGTGGTAAAAATGATGGTGATCATAGTGAGAGCCATGAGCCTACCGGGTTGTTCTTGTCCTCTTGGATACGGTATCGGGTGATGAAAGATGGTTTCCCAGTAGTGTCCACCAGTAGCAGAAGGGCATTAGACCCCCAGAATGCCAGAGTGGGGAACAGCGTTGTCCCTGAAGGGAAACAAGAGTCAAATAAAACTTACTGAATCTGCAGAAGTCCAACGACATCGTCAAAAAGTCTTAAGGCCACGTTAAACCAAAAAGTTTTAAAAGGAAAAAAAGAATGGAAGCACAATGTTATTAACATGTCATAAGCATCATCTCACAAAAGCTTTAAAATGACATTTCTGTGAGTCTTGGTGGTATAATCTTTAGAGGCAATTCTCTTAATTCAAGAGCAGGGTTAACGTTACAGTTTACTGAAAATGTTGGGGAAAAAAATCCTTTAAAAACATTTTTTTTACATCCACATCAATTTAGGTCTTTCATATTTGGTGTAGCTCCTTAGTCGTCAACATGAACTCTTTTTAGTTTATCATCAAATCAAATCATGTGTGTAATCTCATTGTAGAATAAATTAGCAACAGTGCTCTATAACCTCCTTCAGGCAATCACAAAAAGTGAGACCAGATGACAGAATCGTAACTGGTTTTCTTTTTTTTTTTTAAACACAAAGCAAAGAAAACAATCTAATTTCTTACCTAAAAAGAACAAAGCTGTATCATGACCTTCAAAGGCCAAGTACACCTTCGTCCACAAGTTCTGCCAGAAATCTCCAGAAGCTCCCCAAAATCTCTGAAGGTGCCTGGGTTGAAATGATTAATAGCAATTCTGGTTATTTTTGTAGTTTCTTTCTTTTTTCTCAGAAAGAGGTTTGGACATGTAATGTAATGTGGCTACAATTCAAGACACCAACAACCCATTCAAACCCCCCCCACACACACACACACAAAGAATTCTTTTAAATTTAATCTATTCTCATTGATTATCTTCACCGGTTATATCATCTCCAATCCATTTACTTAGACCCATCAAATCTGGTCATGCTTCGACTCCATCATCTACAACATATTCAGCATCATTATGTCATTATGTCTAATCTTATCTATTTTCCTGTTAAGTCTTGTCCGATCAGGTACAAAGGATCGTTTTTTACATAAACACGTCACTGAAGTTGTATTTTTCTCCTCGGATAAAAAGATTTTTTTAGAATCTTTGTTCCAAAAAAATCTATGGCTGCCCTTACATTACCAGACTCTTCAAAACACTCTTATATTCAATGCTCACATCCTTAACTTGTCAGAGTCGCACCTTTTGCTGTCGAGTTGTGCCGACTGTTAAATCTGCCATGCCCCATCATGTTTTTACAGATCACATTAGGCATTTTCGTGCTCTCTCTTGTTCAGGTTCCACCCAGTTCTGAACCAGCCTGTGCTTTCCTGTGCCAGCCTATCGTGAGTGTCAGTCCTGCCAGTTTCTGTCTATTCAGTCCGTTCGTAAAAAGCTCTCTTTTGTTGAGTTCTTAAGTCCTTATCCCGTCTACCTTGCTTTCTCTTCTATGCATTAATGTGAACACCTCTCCTAAGGCTTGTCCGTGGCATTTGAAGAAGCTTTTTTTCTGCGGCCGAGGTCCTACCAGGTCAGGGAGTTGCCAAAAGCAGCCAAGAATAAGATTCCAGATCCTATGATGACTGCGGCTTTCTTCATGGAGTCCCACAGTCCTCCAGGGCCCTCCTGGGGAAAACAAAAACAACGGTAAGAACCGTGCACACAGGCCCCTGGCGATGCTGAGCTGTATCAGATACTTAATGGTGCAGCACACCCAAAAACCAACAGTAAAACTGCAACTGACACCAATGAGAGATTTTTTTTAAGAGCACGTCATTTCACTCTATGAGCACACCTTTAGGTAATTTAATAATAAGAAGAGATAGAAGAGATAAGCTATAACTTTAGCATAATTATAAAATTAATTGTTATAAAATAAACTGACAAAAAGAATAATGATCATTTTAAATCCCGAAAGTAAGCACAGGTTTTACACTGACTACAAAATGATGCTGTCATGTTAGTCTTAATGCACTCCATTTTGCCTCCAGAGCTACATTTAGATTTTTTATAAACACAATTTTTACATTTAATATTAAACTCCTGGGGACACTGATAGACTTATTCTGTCGACATTGATGCAAAAAAATTAAATCTACTGTAGAGGTTGGAACTTAAACAGATATTTTTTTAAAAACACCTTTCTAAGTCAAAGCTTCATGGGTGAGGCTTAACAGATGTGGCAACACATACATCTTCTGAGGGATAAACAAAACCAGATGTGGCAGGACTTTTTTTTTTTCTTTTACAATCTCCATCCCCATAAAAGAGGGATCTTTCTACATTTGACTTTGAAACCTCCCCTGATCTGATGCAGCATTGATCTGTATTTCTGACACGGGCATGGTTGAGACTAAAATCCTCCTGTGTTCAACTAAATCTGTGTTAGGGGGGGGGCTTTTCCCACAGCACACTTACATCAGCAGTTCGAAGGCGACCATCCCATAATACACAAAAGCACCAAAGTGTCCAACAGAACACTGAGTGAAAGTAAATTAGAAGCCACTCACACGGAGAGAAAAGAGGAGCGGTTCACTCAGCAGGAATTAAGTCCTGACTGATGTCACGTTCATCAGACTTTATGAAATGCCAGTGTTCCCTCTCGACTGCCCCAAACCTTGTCATGGCAACCAGGGGAAGAATGTTACACAAATGTCCAACTGGTCCCAGAACTCAGGTATTTTTTTCTTTGAGGACATGTTTATGATCACACTCCAAAGCTGAAAGGGCGCCGACAAGACAAACATTTCTCCTTTTATTCTCTTGGCCATGCGCCACATCTCTGGACCATGTGCAGAAGCCAATTATCCGCTATTGTCTTTGCTTCCTGCAGGGCTCCAAAAATTTGCTTGGGTAAAAGAGAAAAAGAAAAGTAACTTGTCAGGCTGAACCTGTTGCAAAAATCAACAGGGCGAACAGTACAAGTCCCAGAGGAGCCTTAGCTGAAAACCAGGTGGAGCTTTACATAACCATTCTTACCGACACAACACACACATGCGAACATAGCCAAACTGGTCAGCCTTTCAAAAAACTAAACAGAGAGCCAAGTAAAACTGAGTCCAAATATTTGTAATCAGACAGTGTAAAAGTTGATAACATGTACATTTTTCCTCTATTTCTTTCATGACTGATATTCCTCTTAAAAGTTAATTACCATTAAAAAATAATAATCCTTCTTGTCTGATGTGGGGCTTCAAATACATATTTCGGCCAACTATAAGCCTCACATTTACAGAAATATCTGACAAGTATTTCTGGTTTTCTCAGAGCAAAAGGCAGGTTTCAATAGACATTTAGTAGAGATGACGCTATCCTCATATTAATGACCTCCACCCATTAGCCGAGGACTAGTTATGCAACAGTTCTTAACAGAAAGCTAAGAAAACAAAATCTGTAGCAGGAGAACGGCTGCACCTGTGTTGGTGATGACTCGCTGTGCTATAGAAAAGCCTGATATTGATCTCGCCATAAAATGACGACAAACTCTTTTCACAGAAGACATTTTGTTCGTTTTTGTACAGCAGAATAGGTCCAGGTAGAACCACATGAAAAAAACTCAGCAGCAGTGAATTAGGATGTAAATGTGCAATTGTCTGACCTGTTGTCTCATGCCGACTGTGCTTCCCTGAGCCCCGTTCTTCTCTGCAAAAACAGGAGCACACTTCATCTTTATTTCGATGTATAATTAGAACAGTATCATCAGTAAATATCCACAGTGTGTCAGCAGGGTCTGCTGTTTCAATTATTATACAAGTTATTCCATTTAAAACAGGTTCATTCTAGAAAAGGTTTTAAACTGACGAAAACTAACTAACGAAGACACAAACTAATACACTCAAGTATCGTCATACATTAGCATCTTAACTGTTTTTCATTTTTCGTAGTACAATAATCATCTGAGTGGAGCGTGGACTGGTAAAATTTTTTTACAGCTGCAGATTATATATAATCCTATTATAATCCAACCTTACAATGAGTGTGCACTTTTTGCACAGACTCTCAGGGATCAACCTGCCCTACATCCACTCTATAGCTCTCTTTGTAAAATCAGTAAAGACAAATCAAGTAATTTCACAACTGTGTGTGTAAAGGCTGCAACCAATGATATTTTTCATCATTAATAAATCTACCGATTAATATGTTGGTTGAAAATAAATAAATTATATGTCAATACAGGTGCTTAGAATGATGGGACAATAAATTATCTGGCGGAAGTTGAGTTTCTTTGGTTTTGTGTACATATCCATGTAGTTATGAATTTGTAAAAAACCTGAATGTGGGTGTTAAATACTTTTTTGTCCATCCACTAATCCTTTATCAGCAATATTCAGTCATTTTTTTCCACCCAATGACCTCATCATAATCATTCAAATTAGTGTAAAATAACGCTAACGTCAGATATCCCTAAATGTCACAATCACAGGCACTCACTGTCACTCATGTCAGAAAGACTTTACCTTAGAAAACAGTGATAACAAGTTTGCTGCGTCGCTTTAAACGTATCAAATGCATTTCAAAGAGCTCTGTCATTATAAATTCAGTTATAACCGTCTCTAACTCACCGTTTAACCTCGTCTCTGTCTGCATTTTCCCCCTCTGTCCTCCTCTCGGTTGTCACTGTTTACTTCTCTGCTTCCACTGCACGAGCTCACAGCGGCAGTTTATTTACAACAACCGGATACCTCTGATTGGTCGCCGCTTGGTCAGCTGACTAAAGCCGGAAGATTTGGGTCCTTCCTTCTCCGCGTTTTCCTCCTGTGCACATGTTTTATTCAGGTGAAGGTTGAAACTCAGCATGGAGGGTGGTCTCTGAGCTGATTATGTATCATGTAATGGTGGGGTGAGAGGAATAATGTGTGAACTGTGCAGATCTAAAAAACAGGTCACATATCTTTTAAAAAGTGTATATTAGAACTCAAGGGTCAAGCTGAAATCTGCACTGACTTGAAGATACAACAAAAATAAACACTTTTGGTGGTTTGGTCTTTGCTTTGACTTTACTTTGTCCTTCATTATAAAATGCAAAAGGCACCCTGTTCGATTGGCATTTTTCCACTGTCTAGTAAATCAAGTAAATGATGAAAGGATAAATAAATAAATTAATCAAAAATCGTATATCTTGCCAAATATAGACGTGAGATTAAGCAAAAATTCAACAATTTTATTTCACATAAGATCTCGCAAATTGTCCATATTTGAATGGGTTTAATATTTAAATAATGAGTTTATAAATTTAGCAAAACCAAGTTGGTGAAAATATCAAATCTGAATGATAAAAGAGAAATTTTTTCATGTCAAAGTTGTTGTTTTTCAGATTTAATGCCTATTATATTTGTCTGAAAAAAGTTGCTGTGCTACAGGCAAGATTTTAAAGGCTTTATTGAACATTACAGTGCAGACATACATAATCCCATTCGGGTCAACATCATCCAGGACGGATGGTCCTGTGGAGGGTGGAAGATTTAACTCTTTAACAGTGGGGAAAACAACAGTGTTCTTAACCCCAGGTCAAGGATTCCTCCTGAGAAAGGGAAACACAATAGTAGTGCGTTGCGAATATGGAGAACAAAGAGATCAGGATGACCAGAAGGGCATTGTGCAAGGTCCCCCGGCATTTCAGACCTATAGCAGCATACTGTACTGTACGGGATTTTTCGTTTCAGAGTCACCTGAACCATCTCTATGTATAAGCTTTATCAAAAAACTATACGATGAGATGGGTTGTTGGTTTTCCAAACCCTTTTTGACACCTGGCTTCACAAAGCGGGTCCTGACAACTGAGGGGTATCCCTACAATTCTACTTTTAGAAACTCGAGGAACCACAAGTACACTTGAAGTCTAAGACAAATGTGCCCTTTGGGGAATTGTCTTAACAAGATCATAAAAATATGATGGAGCTTGATCATGAAGAACTTTACATGTAAGGGGCAGATGTTCTGGGAGCCAGTGATTAGAGGGAACACAAGAAATATGACGGAAATTAAGGCTTTGTACAGAAATTTGGGATTCACCAAAAGAAATATACTACAGTGGTAAAATCATGGTGTAACAAATGCATGGAGCTGTTTTTCTGCATCACTCTGAGACAGAAAGTTCTGGATGTTTCTAACTGTAGTCATATCATGATATACAGTCCCATTAAGAGTAACTGTAAATCTGCATAAAATTTATCTTAGTGAAGAAGCAAAAATAAAAAAAGACATGCATTTCTACATGTTAAACATTCTTGTTTTCTGACTAAATGGCAATATAGATTATTTAAGATTAATGTTATCTGCATAGAAATTCAAGTTTATGACATGCCTTCTAATAGAGTTACCTAATGCAGTCATGTAGATTGTGAATAATAATGGACCTAGCACAGAACGCTTAAGCACAACATGAATAAATTCAATATCTATTAGATATTTTGTTTGTTTCTTTTATTTTAGTGGTTAAGACAACGTTGAAACGCTACTTGTGTGAGATCTGAGACCTCAGCTTTTGTCTTTGTTGTACAGTGAGCTGACATCGCTAGTTTGATTAAGTAATAAGCTGAGGCTGAACAAGCATTTATGGAGAACTACGTATACACTGCAGCTTAATACAAAAAGCACGTGTTGATGTCAAAGCTGAAGATGAACAAGCATGTATATAGCAGTACGAAACCACTGCAGCTTCATACACGTTGATGTCTGCATGGCCATAAACCTTCCTCTACATTTTCTTGTTTGATAACATTGGAGACAGATATGAACTTCACCTTTTTCTGCTGCTGCAACATCCAGCAGCATTATCATTACACCCTATGGTGTCCAACACTGCTGTGCATAACAGACTCATAAAGCGTCTTTAGATAAAACTGTGAAAAGCACTGCCACGTGGACTCTGTCTTATTTTCTATGAACTTGTATTATGCAGTAAGACTTTAAACAGCTGTAATCAATACATTTATGACCCATGTTATCACTTGTGCTACACATTTGAGTTTGTTATGGCCACTGTGTTCCAAGAGGTTACTTTTCTTATGTCACCAGTGGTTTGCTATGTCTCAGCTAATTTTAACTATCAGTCATTCAAAACCATTCGGTCCGTGATCAAGTCAGCAGTCTCAGCAATGATAAATTACCTTCAAAAGTTGCATTGTCTTCGGGCCGCAGCCGTAGCCTAATGGCTAGAGCGGGCGGCCCATATGCGGAGCCTCCGCTTGCAAGCGGGTGGCCTGGGTTTGTTTCCAGCCCATGGCCCTTTCCCGCAGGTCTCCCCCTCTCTATCTCTGCCCCCTTTCCTGTCAAGCTACTGTCATTAAAGGCCACTAGAGCCAACAAAATAAAAAAATAAAAAAAGTTGCATTGTCTTCAACAAATATTCCAAAACTAACCATCAGTGTACCAGATTTCCTGTCGATTATGTGAGTTTTGTAAGTAGATCCATTTGTGGCAAAAGATTATATTAATTCAGTTGTTGCTTTTTAATTTAAAAATAGATTGCATTGTGAGATGGCAGCTTAGTGGTAGATTGAAGGAATTTATGTTAACAATTTTCTTAGAAAAGTAGAATAAAAATACAACATAACTTTTTTTGTGCATTCAGAATATAAACTTTTGGCATGAAACCAAGTAACTGTCTGTTTGTATGTGTAGAGATGGATCAACTACCACCAGGTAAAGTTCACTGCTCAGGCCTGACCTCTAGTGAACAAAGATGGCCACTGGAACAATGATGCTTCACACCTTCATTAACAGTTTTTTTTTTAACAGAAAAAGCCTAAATTGTCATCTATTTGAAAAAGACAATTATAATGGGATTTATCCAACCTTTCTTTAAATTTTTTATTAATTCTATTTTTAAATGTACTTCATTTGAATGTGAAGGATACACATTAATGGACGCATTTTTTTTCTCTTTACTTTATAACACTTTATTCATGTAAAATCGTATTCTTTCCATATTTGATAGAAGCTATCACGTTATCTTCAATGCTCATTAAAAGCTATTAATACATACATACAGTATGTACGTACATTCGTATTTAAATACACACGTACGCACAGCAGCCAAACTTTTCTATCTGACTGCTAAACTCCTCTCTACGTGTCACCTTCTTGATGTAAAATAATAATATATAATACAGAAAGTTCAAACTGTTGAAAATTCACACAATATATATAGTCTGTTTGTTTAGGGTACACACACTTAATTAACTTTGTTTTTGTTTTTGGTAATGGTAAGATGTTTCATCACATTTTTAAATATAAATCACATTCCAACTATCTTAACTTGGCCCGCTTTAAATATAATTAACATTTTTAAACTGCTTAAATCTGAATTAAAAGTATGGATATGAGCATGGATGATTTCCCTTCCATTCCAACATCCAAAACGGTTTCAGCTCTGTCATCTACCATTTATTTGTATAAACTGCTTGCTTTATGTCCTTGTGTATCATTTCAACAAGATTATCTGCAGATTTGATATGGCAATTCTAATTATATTTTTTCATTTTGCCAGAATTTTTCTTTTTTTAGTCTTCCTTTGCAACCCAATCCCCCGTTGGGAGTGCAGACAGAGACTTTAAGTGCAAGTTAACGCCAAAAACATTGCCCAAGCCGAATGACCAAAATTTTGTTGGAAAAAAAACACCACAAAGAACCACAGAGATCCAGAAATAAAACAGGGAGACAACAGAAACAACTGACAAGGAGTACGGGAACAATGAGCACAGGGGTAGAAAGTGGGGCAGATGACCACACTGGAAAAAGACTGAGGAGACTAAGTTGGAGGGAAAGTAGTAAGCAAGAGTGATGAGGTCCACCCAAGTCAGGTCAGCTCAGATTATGAGATTTCTAAACTTTCTAAGATATTACATCCATTCCGTTTACCAAAGCCTAGGTAAAGAGTGATTCAAGTCATTCTAGCTAGCAATGCTTTATGGCTATAGCTAGAGGTAGTGTCAACCAGATTCTTTACTTGGAAACCTGAGAATAAACCAGAGTAGATCAAAAGTATAAAAAATGACATTTATTTGGTCACAGGCAAAGTATATCAGCGCTGGGCTCTTCACAGAGAAAACCTTTCTCTCAGGGTCTCAGTTGGCAAAGAACCCCGAACTCCGTGTGTCATGGATATTTGTCTTCTGGGCACACCCCTCAAAAAGGACTGGACACTGCTTATTGGCCAGTTACTGACTACCCCTAACCCTGACATGAACTGGCAAGGTCCTAGTTAATGCAGATAACATTGAAATGTGGTAACAATGGTGAGTGTTTGTGTTGACCTGCTGGAATGTGATAACAAATAGTGTGGATCTAATGCAATAAGAGAAAGAAAACAGAGTCTTTGGACGCAGCCAGAGACTTTAACACAAAGTTAGCGTTCTATAAGGAATACAACAATCAGTCATTTACATAGATCATGTTATAGCATACAGTGCTAAAGTGAGTAATTATGACCAAATTCTAACAGTAGCTAACCAATTAAGATGGCGTTAAAATCAAGATGGTTCTGGGTTCGAGTCCCCGGGGGAACCAGGACCTTTCTGTGTGGAGTTTGCATGTTTTCCCTGTGTCTACGTGGGCTCTCTCCGGGTACTCTAGCTTCCTCCCACTGTCCAAAAACCTGAATGTTAGGTTGATTGGACATTCCAAATTGCCCTTAGGAGTGGTTGTTTGTCTTTGTGTGTCTATCTGTGATAGACTGGCGGACCGTGCAGGGTGTACCCTGCCTAATGCCCATTGAACACTGGGATACCGGGATAGGATCCAGTCCCCCCGTGACCCCCTTTGGAAATAAGCGGTTTAGAAAATGGATTGATGGATGATTACGCAACTGCCATATACACCTTGAAAATGAATTAATCTATATTCAAACACTACATCACATTGCCCTCAGCTTTTGAAAACCGTGAATTAGCTTTATGTGTGTTCAACGGAATGTGAAGCAAAATAATTGCCCAGTGACCTTTCACGGAATCCCCGGTTGACTTTGAAAATGTGAAGTGCAACAAAGTCAGTATTATGTTTAAAAAAAGCTAAATTACTGTCTATTGCTTTTTAAAGGGTGAACATATCTATGATTTGGGGAACACAGATTGTATCATTAACTTCTATTCAAATTCTGTTCTTTATTGTAAATTAAATTCAAAATACATTTTCAACAAAACTGAAACTACTTGGTCACCAAACCTAAAAGAGTTTGGAGTCCTTTCTCTCCCATTTCTTTACACTTAAGCCTTAAACTAATGTGTCTTAATGAATGATTTATTTACACTGTAGCCTGCATTTGATTTCTCTTATATAAAACGTTGTAAAAGAAAACATGAATTGTTTTAGTTTTTTTAATTGGCAAAAGGTGTGTGTACCATAACTAAAAATATAATCCAGCGTTATTTAATACTACCCTGGGCTTTGGGTGTCGCCCTTGGTCAGCGGTGTATTATCTACTGTTGACTTAAATCCCCAGAAAAGAGAAGGCGAATCTGCACGGGAATACTGTCAATAAAAATAAAAAGCTGAAACTCTGTATATCGTAGAGTAAACAAAGGCGTAAAGGGTTAAAGCTCATTCGGGCGGCGGATTGAGATTCAGCAGGTTCGGTCTCTGCTCTCAGCGGTCACGCTCCGCCAGCAGCGCTGGCTCCCTCCGATTTCCAACTCGCTGTGGATTGTGGGAATCAGGGACACTGCCCAGGCTTGTTACCGGAGACCCGAGAGCTATTTTTTTCCACCCGCGCCGTCTCGTAAGTAATCCTCCAAGTTCGTACGCATGCGGTTCGAGTCTGCCCCTTACGCCAGTTATTGCCCGAGCAGGTACCGGTGCACCGAGGTGAGCCGCTAACGTTGTCGTTTCGTGTTTTTTTTCTTCTCTGGAATGGAGGCCGACAGCGGAGACCGTGTTGCTCGAGTTGACTGGCAGGAAAGGGGAGGGAAAGGAGGAGCAGGCGGCTGCCGCTGCTCTACCGGGGTTATGTTCGCGAAAGGCACGGTGGCCTGAGCAAAAAAAAAAAAAGCCCCCTGGGTTGCCTGACAGCTGATTATTAGCCGAAATTCCATTCGTCCATGGCGTTTGGAAAATAAATTGACCGGCGCGAGCCACCCGCCTGGTTGTTGACATGAGGAAAACGTCAGTGGACAGAACGGAGAAATGTCCACTGTGGCGGTTAAACCCGTCTTACACCTGGCCGGAGTGATAGAACGCTGCCGAAGGTGTAGACGGAATTTGACTTTTAATTTTTATCACCCGTGTTATTATTGTTGTAACTGTGACGTTCGGTTTTTATTTGACGTAGCCTGCCAAGTGTTAGTGTTGGAACGGAGTGAGTGGCGAGCGTGGCCTGTGCACGAGCTAATTGATTACCACTGACAGATAGCTGAGGGATGTGTTCATCCGCTACACTTCCAACAATGTTGACATTTCATGCCTTTATTAAAGCTTGACTTATAACATTGATTTTTTTTTTTTTTTCAAATCACAGACTAACCCCAATTCCACATCTAAATGTACAGACATATGCATATTGAGAAGTGGCTCTACTGAAGATGTTAGGGCATGATGGCCTCTGTCATGAATAAAACATTTACTGGAGTAATCTTGTGATAATCCACTTCGTCCTGCACAGGCAGTGTGACATTTAGCAGGCCGGTGATATTTACAAAAAGACTAATATGGATGTTGAGTAATTACCAACTAAATACTCATGGGAGTCATGAGGCGTAGCAGTAGATTGTGAGTCCCAGGTCACCTTGGGTTTGTTTTCCATAATGCTTCATGACACCATATCTAATTTTTATGGCTTTTATCCTTGTGCAATGTTTTTTTTGTGTGTGCGCGTTTTGAGAGGTTCTTGAGATTAAAAAAAGATTAAAAAATCTGCCTCTGTGGCTGATGTTTTTCCATGCAGATCATAACACAGGTAGCATCCCCAACACCATGTCTAGCAGAGGAGGAAAGAAGAAGTCTACCAAGACTTCCCGGTCAACCAAGGCTGGGGTCATCTTCCCTGTGGGGCGCATGCTGCGCTACATCAAAAGGGGGTTGCCCAAATATCGCATCGGAGTGGGAGCACCTGTTTACTTGGCAGCTGTCCTTGAATACCTTACAGGTGAGGTATACTTTTGATACAAGGAGAAAATAGAAAATCTCAATAGCTCACCTATCATTAAAGATGTTGTACCAACTGTACACTTACAACTGCTTATGTTGTGCTTATCAGTTTATGAGCTGTAGTTATTCTGTGCTATTACTAGGTATAAAAATGCTGACACATTTACACTTTTTTCTAGTTCCACAAAGATTCCTTCCAAAAATTGTATTTAAGATGTCGAGAAATAATTAGCAATGACCGTAAACTGGTAAAACATTCAAATGTATTTATTTAGTTATCAATGCCTGATCTTTTTTAGATTAGTTTCCAGCAGCATTTAAAAAACAAAAAGTCCATATATGAAGAATAAAAGACTGAAAATGTTTTGTAATGTTAAAATGAGCAGTTAGATTGCACAGAGGCTGATGTGTTCAGAACTCTGTGAAAGTATGTGTGGGCCAAAAAGAAGCATTACAGAGTCAACTGCAGCAGAAGTTTTCCTAAGTAAGCATTCACAGTTCTGGTTGTTGCAATTGTATCAAAGTGTTACAAAGTGTTCACAGCATCAGCTGCGTTTACTGATAATATTTCTATGTTTAACTTTCATTTAGCGGAGATCCTGGAGTTAGCAGGCAATGCAGCGAGAGATAATAAGAAGGGTCGTGTAACACCGAGACACATCCTGCTGGCCATAGCAAATGATGAAGAGTTGAACCAGGTGAGCTGATGCATAAACGATGCCCAGTTATTTTCAGATGCACGTTGAGCATTTGTACGTTGACATTTGTGGTCATATCAGAATTCAAATCATGTATTTTTTCCTCTTTTCTTTTTTTTTTGGCTAGTTGCTGAAAGGTGTGACCATTGCAGCAGGCGGAGTCTTGCCCAATATCCACCCAGAGCTGCTGGCTAAGAAAAGAGGTGCCAAGGGGAAGCTGGAGACACCTGTTTCACCTGCTCCAGAAAAGAAGCCCAAGACAGTCAAGAAAACAGCAGCTAAGAAAATGAGCGGGAAAAAGGCAGGAGGGAAAGCAAAGGTACATCTTGGCGTTTGCAGTTGCTCCTATTAGACTTTGTTATGGAAACATTTTTTAAATGAGTGTGACAAAGTTTATTAATAATTAGAGAAGATCGATCTTGTCCATTAAGGTATTTATTCAAAGGCAACAGCGTTCGAAGACGCAGGTCACAGAGTAAACCCAAGTGCGCCGATGGAAAGGCACGTCCCCTTATATAACTTAGTATAGATAAAGGAAAGAAAAAGGGCACTGTGTTTCTTATCAGCAACAAACAAGGAGAATCTGATTTACTCCTCAGTCCTCAAGGAAGTCCCATGGAGAATCTCCAAAAGGACAGGGCTATGCATATTCTCAGGAGACAGGAAAGGGCCCCCATGTGGATTGTTCAAAAGGAGAATCTTCTCAGGAGATGAGTGACGATGGCACAAAGGGTAATCATTTATCCTTTATCTTTTATCATTTCAATGATAAACACAGGAATGGGAGATTCATCCTTGATGGTATTAAGGAAATTGTTGTAATTCCTACTGGTGCTAAAACCACAGTCGCCAAACATGCGAGACGACTCTCCCTAAAAGAATTAACTACCAGGTATCCTTCACAAAGAACCCCTTGTGCCTGTCCATACTTAAAAATTATGAAACATTAGGTTAACAACTAAGAAGACTCATGCATGACTCTGGATTAGACGAGTAGCATAATTTTGTCTTAGTTTCTATAAATTTTCAATTAAAAAAAGGAATTTGTCATTGCTTAAATAAGATACTATTTGGGTAACCATTCTGTAGCTCCTGTCTGTTGTAATGCTGCTTTCTGTGAAACTACAGTACACCAGCTGCATGCTTGTTTCTGCTGGAGGCCAAAGATGCCCGTGTCCGGACGTTTTTCCCTCTGTAGTACTGTCATGATAGTCACGTTGCTGATTGGCTGATCGTAGGTTCTCCAGAGGTGTTCACTGTTCCAGGTTAAAACATGCATTTGGTGTCCACAACAGAAACAGGGGGAGGTAAGCAAGGCAGCGTCAGCAGACAGCACCACAGAGGGATCTCCAGCTGACAGTTTTACTGTGCTTTCTACAAAGAGCCTCTTCCTGGGTCAAAAGGTCAGTTCTTTGTCACCATATCCAATAACTCTGCACAGAACCTATCTGATCCTCTAGAAATTATACTCTTGTACAAAAATGCACATGTCCAATATTCAATAGACACCGGGTGTGTCTTGATTTATGTTTTAGTCAAAGAATATTTTCTCTATGTTTGCTATTAAAAAAACAATAACTCAGTATAAATAAAAGCTAGGTAAACTATTTCCACAGTTGTTCATGTCTTTAGATGACAAGAGATAAAGTATTTTGCTCTGCCATGTTTGTCAGATCTGCATTTAGATCATACACTAAATGTATTCCCTTTCCGAACAAGATCAAAAGAGTTAAATGAACTAAAGATGATGTGACGGTGTTGGTGTCGTCATCCAGACTGTCTCCCACAAAGAAGTTCCTTTATTTTGTTTGTTTAATCGAACCTCTGTAGCATAGTATATCTTCAAATGCAGGGATTTAATATTTCTAAGAGTCATTTGAACAAAGTGTTGTGTTGCTAACATCACAGATCTGCTAACTCCTCTGGCAAAACCCTTTTTACTGAGCTGAAACTTGGAAGGGAATTTGACTTTGACAACCCTATCAAAGTATTTCTGTCATAATGTTTTAAGATCATTCGATAATAGGCTCATGAAAATGGATTTCAAACTAAGGAAGAAACATAAAACCAGTTGGTACAATGTTTAAAATAAGTGTTGGCTTTTCTTTGTTTTTGAGCTGCAATCAGATGATAATTGATATTGAAAAAATGGTCACCCTTCATTTCAGTTTTATTGTTAGGGCTAAAGTGTTCTGTCCTGACATACTTAATTGGACAGGGCCTATTCAGGAGAAAATAATGAGCTGTTTACAAACTGATGAACCATCAAAGTGCTTTGTTCAATGTTTACTCATACAGTAAACCTGGACTTGAGAATTTTCTTTCACAGCTAAGTTTCAGCTCAGCTGTAAGCAGATGGCTGTTGGCAGTGCATGCTACAATCTGCAAACATACATGGATTCTAAAACATAATTAGATACAAATTAAATAGACATTTGATAAAAGGCAATAAACTAATTCGGCTTGAATGCTTACGCTGCCGCCCTCTGTTACAGATCTTTTTTAAAGCCTTATAACTCTCCTTAATGCTTATTTGCAATCATGTCATTGAGCTGATGCAAAGAAACAATGAGGGCATTCTTTGTTAATGAATGCACTCTTGTGGTGAGGAGCAAAAAAAGATTAAATAGTATAGACACAAACAAAATTGATAGCTCTGTCTTTCACTTGACAGTTGCACAGACAGACAAGACTTGAAGTTCAATACAATTTGAAGTTGAATTGGTTGTAAGGACAAAAAAGGAGCACAAAATTTGTTAAGAAATTATTCCCTGACACATGTATCCTATTTTTCAGACTTTGTTCTTTACCCCTGTGTTTCACAGACATATTTATTACAGCTGCTCCTTTTCTTCATATTTTTTTTGTGTTCCGCTCTCAATCTCACACTGTGTTTTCTGTCATCACTACTTCTCTTTTGGATGATGCGCTCCATCTAAAATCAAGCTGTGTGCTTTAAGGCCTGCTGATTTTTGCATACAAAATGAAATCATGAGGTTCTAACTGGGTGGAATCATTGAAAAATTAAAGGGATACCTTGAGACTTGGCACATGAATTTTGGCAACCACAGTATCTGAGGTATAGTTTTGTTAGAACACTACACTGATCATACTGAACATTGTATTTACCACTCTGGTTATACGTTTTAGTTACTTCCAGGCCTATGATGTCTGGTTTTAAACCAAATGATCCACTGATTTGGAATATTTTAGATGCCTAAAATGAACTTCTGCTTAAAGCTGATGGTAGTCTTTTAACACCACAACAGTGTTATGAAGTGTGAATCTTCTTTTTTTCTTATCCCAAGATTACGAGCGCGTTTTCAAACAGAGTGTACTCCATTACTCTGTTCCCAGTTTGTTAATTGTTCCAAGAGCTCAGGGTATCCCTCTAAACTGCAGAGTTAATCTGGTTTTAATGGCTGTGCTTCCTCACATCTTATTTCTTGCTCCACCTCCTCCTCGGCATGCCTCCCCTTGCTCTACCCCTTTGCAGCTAAACCTCATCCACAGCGAGGTCAGTAACTTGGCTGGCTTTGACGTGGAGGGGGTCATCAGCCCCACCAATGCTGAACTTGAACTTAAAGACGATCTAGGTGAGCACCCCTGCCCCTCCCACCCTTCGCTCTCTGGTCCTCTCGTGCTTTGAGATCTAAAATCCTCGAATGTTGATAACAGTCGAGCGGCTTTTTAAATTGCTGGTCAGAAGAACCGCCTCAACCAACTCTGTTTATTTACACTGTGGACAGCTTGGCTCATTATCGCTCTCATAGGTCACATGATCAACAGTGGTTGAATTTAGAGTTAACTGTCATTCATCTCCAGCTTTTTAACTAATTCTGAAGGCTTCCCGTGTTTATTTTGACTGTTGCAAAGCAAATCAAGACCAATGAAAAATAATCCAATTGAAAATTAGTGTGATTATACAGCCCACATTATAATAATAGATCTGTAATTTAGACATGTATTGTTATTTTTTGTATTTTATCTACTTCTGCTGCAATATGTGTCATCCTTTCTTTCATCCATAGTGACCAAGGCTGTCATAGCATTAAAAAACAGATTTAAGAATCTTTTTGAATAACGAAATTAAATATAAAAAAAAAACATATTTCTTTAATGCCATTTGAATGGGAAACTAATATTTTTATGGTATTTAAACATACACATGCCCATGTTCTGGCAAAAACAAAAATGATTCAGTGTGAATAAATACTGACATCCTTTTACGTCAAATAGCTTTTCTTTAAAGCTAGAATTAGAATGATAAATTAGCAAATCAGTAGAAAATCATGAAAAAAATGGAGTTTTGATAAAAAAGCAGGGAATCCTGTCAATGACTTTCAAGGATTTCATTTCTCGAAGCTTCTCAGATTAATCCGTCTGCTTGCCATTGTTATTTTTGATTTATCGCTGTCACCCTTTCAACTGGCTGCAACACAGCACCGCCACGCTTACAAATGTCCAATCTTTAGGGAAAACGGCTCTGTATAAACAGAGCAGATCACAGATGATAAATTGTTATTCATCTGACAGTTGTAGAGTGCAGCCTGAGTGAGAGGTCGCTCACCTGGAGTGTGATCGTTAAATCAAGGAATCGGGATGACACAGATTGACTAGGAAACAGTTTATTCATTCCTGTCATTTGGAAGAACTCCAAAAAATAAATATCATATCATCATAAATGTTAATTCATTTATGTAGAAAAAGCCGTTTAGGGTTATTTACTTAAAAATAATAATAATCCAGCCAAATGTGTACTCCTGCTTCCACTCTATAACAAGACACTGTTTCCTCAGTCATACTTTTTTCCCTTGATGTTCTCAATAAAGAGCACGCTCACCTCTCTGTGGCCGTTATTTTCCTCCTCTTCTCTTTTGTTCATAGTTTTGTTTATGTTTTCTCTTTTGCCTCATGTTCTTGTTCCTGGCCACTCACTGTGTTTTTACCACCATGTTGTTGCCTGTCATTGTCGTCTGTAGTTGCAAGTTGTCCAAGCCGACATATCCATCGTGGAGAGCGACGCTGTCGTTCACCCGACCAACACCTCCCTCTATACAGGTGGTGAAGTAGGTAAAGGAACCTCTGATACCGCTGAGACCACCACTGCCTTGTCTGCTCTCCCTGCACGTTCAGATGTTCAGTGCTGCAGTCAGTGGACAACGGCCACAGCAGCAGTTCTTGTTCAACAATACAGGAATTAGTGCTGCTTTTAAAATGGATTGTTTGTGATTCATGCAACGCAGCGCTTGCAGATGAATTAATTTGCAGTGGTGTATAAATGTTTTAGAAATACGTGGTCTACCACTCCTGCCTTTTCCAGACAGTTTTCTATAAACCTAGCCAAGGAGAAAAAACAAAGTCTTCACACGGCGTAAACATGTGTTTGGTCAGCAGCTGACAGTTTTCTCCATTATTTCTGAATCTTTCACACTTTCTTGCTCATGCTTGAGGTGTGCTGTAAAGTGAGATAAGTAATTAGCAACACATTTCGAACTTGAAATCATAGTGTAAATAATTTGCCAGGCAAAACCACATGCTTTTCTTATTTGACGGAGTCAAGCATACATATTATTCAAAAGCAAATGAGACTGTAAGGGTACATTCAAATGGAAAATTACTACTACTGCAAGCATTATCTGTCGCCTAATGTGCTTCAGAAATGTTACTTTTCCGTGCTCCACCATGCGTTAGAATTGATCGTTCAACAGTCAAGTCTGGTCACGCTTTAGCTGCTGTTCAGCCTTCAAACTGATGGCTCAGTGACTCAAATATTGAATATTCAAATATTAATAAGACTGGACTGACTGGACACTTGACTGACTCGACAATCTGACCCGCGTCTCATTTCCTGTCCTGACCCTTTGACCAAGCTGATAGGTCAGCTCAGGTCAGGTCCATGAGACTACAAGGGTTGATCAGTTGCTACAAGTGAACAGAGGTTTTAAATAGAAAGACTAAAGGCCGGTGTCTTTAATTGCTTACTTGGATTAACTTTTGCATTGCCCTTCTTTACTAACACTGACACTAATCAGAGATGCTTTGTTTTTTTCCCCATCCACTTTTTTTGAATGAAGTTGCAGACAGAGCATTTATTTCTCTGTTTCTGGAGACATTAAGCAGCTTCCTTCTTTTCTAGTTTCCTCTGGCAGTTCTCTAAACTTCCAAGTAAATATGAAATAATGTGAAATTACTTCCTTTTACTAATCATACTAAGAAAAAAAGGAACAGTTGAATTTGCGGTCCCAGCTTTGTGAATAATTTTCTTATTTTCACAAATTAATTTGGCTATTATAAACAATTAAACAGTAGCTGTTACAATGTCATTTATTATCTCAAGAAAGATTATACTCTCCTTCCACTCCATGTTTAGTCACATGAGAGGACAGAGAGTTTATTTAATTACAAAGGTTTCAATAAATGTATTACACCGACTCTTTATGAGCAATTGGAAGGAAGCATTTTTTGTCTCTGCAGAGAGGCAGGACTTTTAACGATGAGATTCCGAGAGAGGCCCTGTGAAGTGACTGACAGCGCTGTTTTGTGTCCGTTCATTTCCATGTCGATGTGCTTGCATGTTCGTCTGCATGACCGCCAACCAGCTGCCTCCCTTTCTGCTGTCTGTATGTCTGCAGTGGATGAGGATGCAGTCACCACAGTCTTCTTTCAATTCGCAGGCTCTGCTCTGGAAAAAAAGGGAGGAAAGGAGTTCAGTGAAGCGTTGCTGGACCTGAAGAAGAAAAATGGCCCTCTGGAAGTGGCCGGTGGTAAGTTTACAGAGCAAAATCTCCGGATTTCAAGTCATTCAAGCTTACATTGGGTCGGGTTCCCCAGTTTAGATGTTAGAAAGTCAAACATGGCACCATTTTTTTAGCAGCACAAGATTAACTTTTTTTGTGTGTGTGTGTCAGTAGGCATGCACATAGATAATTAAGTCCATGTGTTTTGCTTTGCTATCGGATTCCTACTTCATTTGTAAGATTGCTGTGACTTGGATACTTTAAATCTGGGCTGATTGGGGCCGCAGCCGTAGCCTAATGGTTAGAGCGGGCGGCCCATATGCAGAGCCCCTGCTCACAAGCGGGCGGCCTGGGTTTGAATCCAGCCCATGGCCCTTTCCCGCAGGTCTCCCCCTCTCTATCTCTGCCCCCTTTCCTGTAAAGCTACTGTCATTAAATCTAAAAAAAAAAAAAAAAAAAAAATCTGGGCTGATTGGAAATGGGGTTTTTTTTGGCGAAAAAGAACTAACAGTAAATAAATGCTGAAAGAGCATTGGTGAGGCTCTGTAAATGTTGAGCAGTAATGCTTTCATGCCACCATGCCCACAACTCATTAATTGCCTATTTCTTTATTTATTTACTCTTAAGGTAGAGATGCTTCTTGACTACAGTTATCTATTTTCTATCTATCTATCTATCTTCTATTTTCGTGGATGTATTTGGAGAAAGCAGTAACTTTGAGCATCAAACAGATAGATGGAAGCCTCTCCTTTTCTATGAACCTTTCTTTGTCTGTTTTTTTTACACTCAGTCACACAGACTGGGCACTGTGGATGGAGAAATTCACCGGTTTGACTGAGTGCTAGGTAAAAGGCAGAGAGGACAGCATTAATGATTTAACTAAATATTACCAAATAATTAATAATAAGTTGTATCATGTCTTGAGCAGGGGGTGAATCATGAACTTTATCGGCAGGGGGCTTTACTGTATCATATTGCTGACAGTGTATCAGGATGCGTATTGAATAGGCCTCGCTGGTGCACATTCACATCCCTACAGGGCACTGAGTTCCACATTTAGTAGGGTTGAATATTGATCCTCTCAAACAACACCCAGTGCCAACAACAGAGAAGTCAGCACTGATTGTGAATCTATTCTTAAATACACCCAGCCACACAGACACTTTCCCCCTTGTCCTTATTATAGAGGATGACATCAGAACCCCTTTCAAAGATTAGCTCTTTTGGACATGAGCACAAAGACCTCACATGTGTGGGCTAGTTTATTTGTCTCTTAAAAGGCTAAAAGTTTAACCTTTTGTAAAAACGGTGCACGCTTGGATTTTGTGCTATAAAGATGGTCAAAAGAAGTCAGTTCTGGCACCCCTCTGCATCTGTGGTATAAAACTAGATGCTTTTTTCAGGCCATTTTTCCCAGTTGCAGGTTTTGGTCACTCTTATGTTTTATCCATGTTTCTGTGTTGCTCACACTTACTTTTTAATTTAATGCTGACTCCAGCCAAGTTAGCTCAGCATCCTAATCCTGTTACCCATGTTGAGTTCATAAATAGATTACCAGGTGACAGAACAGCACTCCATCTGAGCCTCACAGACTACTCCAGACTTTAGATCTGGATCAACCAAACAGTAACCAGATGTTGTTCTGAACAACGATCACACAACTTCAGAGTTCTGCAGGATGTTTAAAATGATCATCATCTGTTAATTTACTTGACATTTACCTTTCAGACCCCTCATTTAGTACTTGTTTCAAGCACCTTTGACAGTAATGAACAGTCCTAAAGGATTGGCACACTTTTGTTGGAATTTAAAACTGTAACCATACTGGATACAGGGGTTTCTCCAGAGATGCTGTTCAAAGTTCAGATCCAAAAGACACCTTTAGCGTTGTTGGCAGTGTGCTTCAAATTGTTCCTTTGCTCAAAAGTAATTCACCATTGATGCAGACCTCTATGGAATAAAAAGTTTTACATTAGAGCTGCTTCCTTTTTCTCCTTCTTCCTGCTGCAACTGCACAGGGTTTGACTTGGAGATGGCGTAAATGAGGAGATGCTCTCTCAGCTTGGTTTCATCCACACATACAACTGGAAATTGTGGATTAAGATATTACCATAGTTTATGTTGACCAGATGACTTAAAAACTTTGATCAACAAGCTTGATGCAAACCTAGCAAATTGTCAGGCAAACTCTGAGTTGGCTGTCTGGTATGTTTTTTAGCAAAGTGTGGCGTCTTCTTCTTTCCAACTAATTGTTCATAAAGAGGGATTTGTTGAACTGCTTATTTGGTGTTTTTTGACATGCTTCTATCAAACATGTAAACAAGGTGCAAGCTAGTTATGACAAATTGGTTCTCTACACCATCAAATATTAGACATTGTGTCATTATCATGATTGATTAGAATACTGCTCAGAGTGCTAATTTTAGCTCAGAGGGACTCCAGTGATGTAGCATGAACCAAAATTATTATGTGTTATGTCTTAATGTAGTCTACGTAATTTTTTGAATAACTGAATAAAAAGCTCCTGAAATTCAGATTAATTGAGGTGAAATGCATTCAATTTAGTCAGAAACACACTAAATTTAAAAGTTTGAAAATGCTCATTACGTTTAGTGATCTCTCTGGTATTTGAATACTTAAATGGTTGTAATCCCTCTATTCAGACATTTTTCATCAATGACTTTTTTCAATTCTGTTACCAGCTAATTTGGGAAAATTCTTTTGACTGTCGCAATGATTACATTGAATTTGATTTTGTAGATAGCATATCTTAGAGAAATTGCATTTATAAATTGCATTTATAAGATGAAATTAATGGTCTTGGGTTTGGTTCACACAGAGACAGAGTAACATTTTGTGTTTAAAGTCTTGGGATGCTTTCATCTAAAAAAGCAATAAATGGGACTTTTGTAATGCTGGCCATAGCTCAGCAGCATCACAGCCATCTTTTTATATTTCTTGAATTTAAGTGAGTCAAAGGAGCACCTAATACTGACACAAAACAGCACCGCAAATCTACTAAATTTCAAAGAAATTCAGACATACTGCAGGTTTTCTACATAGATTGATTAACAGTTTATCTCTAGATGAGCAGATACACGCAAGAAGTAGTTTGTACCAGACCGAGCCATTTAAAAGAAAACCTCATCAGACATTTCCTCAGGACCAGCCTGCCCAAGCTGTGAGACTGTGTGAAGTCTCTCCATCTTTGGTTTACCATCTGGAAATCAGCTTGTCCTTAGCTTTGACTGCTGTCCAGTCACATCGCTGTGGGCTCGTAAACTCTGACCGGAGGCTTTCTCACATCAGAGTCAGTGGTTTTGGCTGAGATACACCTTACACAGCCGCTGGGTTGATGGAAGATTTAACTAAATGTGAAACTCCAGAGGGTAAACTCCTCCTCCCCTGTCCTTCCTCTTTTTTGTCCACAGCATTTCTGGAGAAATGACTTTGCTCTGGTCTAACCAGCTAAAGATTTTGGAGATTTGTTACATACATTTTCTACAAAGACAAGGTCACCTTTGACCTCAAAGCTCAACATTTGAGTTTTGACCTCCAATGAATTATGTAATGAAACTGACATTGTCTAAAAATCTTTTCATGTGACAAAGTCCTGCTGTATCTCTGAAGTTAACATATACGTTTATATGATATATTGTAATGGATGATGAGATTTTTATGTACTTTGAAACTATAGAAGTGTGTTGCTGGTGACTGGGAAAAAAAATATTTTGATAAATATAACCAAGGAAATGTTTGACAATCCTTGTCTATATACATTCAGACTTTTTGATTGATCTTTCTACCCCAAGACAGAAATACCTATTCAGAAATACCTATTCCGAAATACTTCAAATTCAGGAAAACCTTTTTTAAATAACCAGAATGTCTCTTTTTCAACTTTAAGTGGTTTGCAACTTTTATTATTCCTAAAATAATGTTTTTTATTTTTTTATATTAGTTTAGGAGATTCGTAAATCATATTCAGTTTGATCCTAAATGAAAGGATAACGCTAATGTCATCCTCACATTGAATCAAAACACTACCTGAAAATTCTTTGTGTTTTGTACTTTTTTGTCCACATACACATTTCTACTCCTCTACTTACCAAATAAAATGCTCTTCATCTTTTCTCCCTCAGCCGTTTTGACTGCTGGGTTCGGCCTGCCTGCAAAGTACGTCATCCACTGTAACAGTCCGGGCTGGGGCTCTGATAAATGTGAGGAGTTGCTGGAAAAGACGGTAAAGAACTGCCTGGCATTGGCAGATGAGAAGAAACTCAAGTCTGTGGCTTTCCCCTCCATTGGTAGCGGAAGGTATGACCATGTATCTTGTGGAAATTTTATTTTAAAGCAAAAGTCTGAGTCCATCTAAGTAATAAATAGAAATTTATTTAAAGGGAAAACTTCATGAACTGAGAGCAGCCAGCACCACCATACAAGTGGTTCATTTTAATTATCATGCTGCCCTAAAGTAAAACAAATCATGGTCCATTGGTCCATGGTCTGTCCTTCATCCTGCATGTGTATTAAACAATCCTCGAGACAAAAGATTGTTAGACAAAATATGAGGAGATCTTCTCTGAGACCTTGAAGGAGGAAAGAACCTTTAAAATCTTTAATTGTGGAAAGGTACCAGAGAGAAATTAAGAAAGTGATTATACATATATTGATTTTCCTCACAATCTAAAGGGCTGATCCATGTAACCAACTGTGGTGTTATCTCTGACAATATGCAGCCTCTTTCCTGTAGTCACAATTATGGCGCTCAGAATTGGTTTCTTTCCGTTATTCTTGATCCACTTTACCGGTTGATGAAGGTAAAACCTCTCCAAATTACAAAAACGAAACGATGAAAGATTCCTCCACTTAAACTACATTTTTCATAGAACTAGATTCCCCATGTCACTCTACTGACATTTATTTTTCTCTAAGCATGAATTGTCACGCTTTCATGAATTGTTTTTATGTATTTAGTTTTGCAAATCTCAGCAACAAGCTAAGCAAAGATGGTTTTGGTATGTATTATTCAATTTGAATTTAGCTTTTTTATTTAAGGTTCACTTGGTGTGTAGTGTAGATTTTATGTAAGGTCCAGGTCCACTTTGTGGTGCCAGAATTTCTTAGTGAGAACATTCCGTACCACTGGGGGCAGCTGCTTTCGTGACAGGTTTGCAAAACTTTGGCGAGTTTTCAGTCACGGAGCGAGTGACAAGTTCCCAGCATTCTGTAATCACCTTGCATGTGAACTGTCTTGGCAGGAATGGCTTCCCGAAGCAGACGGCAGCTCAGCTGATCCTGAAGGCCATCTCCAGCTACTTTGTGGCCACCATGTCTTCCACCATCAAGACCGTCTACTTTGTGCTGTTTGACAGCGAGAGCATTGGGATTTACGTGCAGGAAATGGCCAAGCTGGAGACGAGTTAAAGTATGGAATTTTGTGTTGGCCTGTTTTTTTTTGTTTGTCTCTTTTTTTTGTTTTTGTTTCCCGAAAGGAGCTTGGAAGGTGATCACTGATGATTTGTTAGACATGAAGAGAACAAGAAAAAGAAGAATCCTAAAGGTGGACAACTTGTTTTTCATTTCGTTTGTGTATTTCCTATATTGTTTTATATTTCTTATATACTTGTCACCTCTGGTGTTTAAACATAGATGTGCACTGTTCATTCAGCTGCCTTTCAAGTCAAGATTCTTCAATTTAAATTTAGTTCTCCAAATATAATAGCTAAAAGAAGTTATGAGACATAGCTACACCTCAGTTCCAGAGACTTCCGGAGAAATACGGGTTTAATGCATGTAAAGGCTGAAAAGTTAACAAAACAACTGTTCTCTTTCTGTTGATCTCAGTATCACAAAGCATCGAATTATGTGTCGTATTTTTGAGTGTTATCTCTGCAGTTTAGAAACATCTGTTGTTGTACTGTATATTGAAAAGGTAAAGTGTAACGAGAAATTCTGTTGAATCTGATTTGGTCTTGAAGAGACTTGAATAACAGAATGGTTTTTTGTGTTGCTTGTTGCAAAATCATTTTTTTGCCTTTGTTTACATAGGCGGAATATTTCCACAGTGTGCTGCAGGGACCTTTAATTTCCAAATGAAAAATAGAAAATAAGGAGTTTCATTGTGATGTGAATTCAATCACCTGATGGGTGCCCTTTGGAGGCAATCGCCGACTGGAGATTGGAGGTTTTTGCAGGACACCGATACTTTCTATTGCGTATCCCTCTAAGTGTTTATACATATATATATATAACATAGAAGTATTTGTGAAACGTTTTAATTTTCACACAGATTCTAAATGGCAAAGGATTTGAAAGAAGAAGAAAAAAAGAAAGATGTTATTTGTGTGTGTTTTTGTCTTTGTTAAGCCATAAAACAAATTTATTCATTATTGCTGGAAATGGAGGCCCTCTGCTGTTGCTTTTGGTTTACTCCTTCACTCAGCAGCCACCAGATGGCTCCCTCTGATAAAGCATCAGTGTCATCTCAGCCATTCTTTTTTGGTGCTGCAGCAGACCTCTGATCGATTTAAGTTGGATTTGAATTGGTAATGATGGACATTTATGTAGAGGAACCCAGCTGATCTGCTGCATTTGGACTTTTCGAGAGCCTAACTTTCTTATAACAGGAAAAAAAATAGCTTTCTAAATAACTGCTACAGTTGATTCTACAAAAGGTCTGTACACTCCGGTAATAAAATACCTTTAAAAACAGTTTGTGTTATAAGTTTGTCATGTGTTTCATACAGAACTGAGGGATGAAGTCCTGAGCTGGAGCTCATATAATTAAAGATATGTGTATATGTGTATTCAAATTAGAGAATAGCCTCATAGTCACACATTCAACCAGCATGTGTGTTGAGTGCCATTCAAATGCAATCTGATTCAAGAGGAAAACGTGATTTTTTTTTAAGCCATTTTTTAGATATAGGCACAAAGTTCAACAAGCACATGTGTCTCTTACAGTAACTTAAGTGAAGCAAAAATATTTTTTATTGTAAAGACATTTGGAGTGTCACTCATATTTGTTATGAATTTCTCAGTTGGAGGATTGCTTACATTTCAGGATGAATTACTGAGATCCCTCATATTGTATGCTTCAAAGTAGTGTTACTAAAGGTCTCCAAATGACTGCCTTTCTTATTTATGCTATTTTGTATCCTTGTTATACCATTTAAACATGCGAGTAATGACAATCTATCTCAGTCTCTTATGATTAGATGTTTCTAGTAGACATCCGAGTTAAGGGGCAAAATAAACAATATCTCAAGACTAAGTTTCCACTTAGTGCTATCCTCCATGACTGGTCACTTACCATCATTGTCTATACGATTAATTAATTTCCCGTATCACTTATTGTTAAACCTATCTTAGTAGGGTGACTGTAAGACTTATTTATTTATTTATTTTCTGAAAGGCCAGAGTCTATTTCCACTTTCCATTGCTGGCACTTGTGGACATCCAAATAAAATCTTGTGCTTAAGTTCAAAAAGCTTTTAAGTACTAAAGCTTTTCTATAGTACTTCTGTTTCTTCTATATATATACATGTAAAAAAGGGGGTTTGATTCCCCCGACGGGGAGCTACACATGTATATATTCTACTTTGTAAGTTGCTTTGGATAAAAGCTTCTGCTAAATGCATAAACATCTTTTTTTTTTTACTATTATAACAGTAATAGTATAATTTGCTAATATAATATATATTTGTTATAGTATTTTCTCTTTTAACCTTTTTTGTTGCCACCAGAGCCCAATCCCCTGATCAATCATTTTGTCTTTAAGCAACCTACTGAGTCCCAAAGTGTGCTTGGGGTCTAACCAGTGTAAGTATATGAAATATTCTGTTTGAATACAGTTTTCAGTGTAAAATCGATTTTACTGGATGATGAAACTAGAATAGAAGATATAGATATTTGCTAATAATGTTTCCACATGATGTTTTCCAGGTTTTATGATTACGCTTCTCTGTTTAATTCGAGACCTGTCCAGGGTGTGCCCTGCCTCTTGCCCATTGATAACTGGGGTAGGCTCCAACCCCCCTCAAAGTAGTGTTCTCTAAAATTTCATAATGGGAAAAAAATGCATGTGTTTGTAGAATTGTTTTCAATGGACCTCTTGCAGGTTCTTGATCCCTAATTTTGGAACCACTGGAATAAATTAGCTAACAAGTTAACTACCTCCAGATGTGCAGTAACAGTAAAAATGGTGCCCTACCTTCACAATCCAGAAATGTCATACATGATGACATGAAATCCTTACGATGTTCTCCTTGAATCCTTAAATTTTATCTGCATTTTTACTTGTGTTAAATCAATGTCCAACACTTTGTTGTTGTCATCTCCTTTTTTTTGGTTTCTCATGTACGAAATCCTTAACATTGATTCCTAGAAATTAGACATAGTGGATTGTTAAAATGGCGATCCTTAATCGTCATAACATGAAGGTCAACTAAAGTATTTTGGTGAGACAGATTGTTTGTCACTACAACTATAATATCTTTATCTGTGTATAAATATATTATACCATAAAAAAGTTATTTTAAAAGAAGATGCTAATTTTCTTGGCATATATTTGAAATTTGTTCAGTATTGAGTTTGCAGTCTGCACCAACAAAATTAAGCAATCTAACTCCTGCATAATTTCTCACATCAAATTTACTGTGTTTATGGCTCAGATTTTTTGTTTTCATCTGAAAACAGTATGGCTGAGAAAAACATTTGTCCAATGTGTAACACTCCCTTTCGTGATATCTAGTGGGAGATGAGTTGTACAGGAAGTCAAACAAAGCAGCATGACAGTAGGAAGAGCAGCAGTTCACCAATGAATAAGAAGCAAAAAATTACGTTTGTATTGAAATATTTCCAAATCAAGGCCGCAACTTGACACAAAGTACTTTGTGAAGAGAAAAATATAGTACTAACCATTTTCGGAAGACTGCTGTATGTGGCACAAAACAACTGACACAAACTTGTGTGCCGTTGCATTTTTGAAGCAATACTTTTTTGTACAGTCAGCTTTGAAAAGGGTGTCAAACATCATGGAAGTAATTTTTCACCTAAGAAAAATATAACCCTGTTTCAAGAGTGGAAACATCCACTGTCGAAAAAGCAGGAAAAGTCATTTTGCCACGTACAATTCAGAGGGCAACTGTGCAGTACTCATTACCACTGTCCTACCATGCCCGCTGGTTCATTTGCAGGTAGTCTCATATTGTAGCTGTTTTGCTGTGGCTGGTCATATATTTATTTCTTAATATACATGATTTTGAGTCGATAACCTTTGACCAACAGACACTTTATTATATATAGATTATCTGTCCGAAATTTAGGTGACTGCACATAATGGGTCGGGAATCATTCTAACTTTACATAATAACTCTTGGATTGACTGGAAGAATGATGAACCAAAGTACTGAGCACTTCAACTTAATCTTAAAAGAACAAAGAATAACAAGTAAGCAACTTTTTCAGGTTAGTTCTATTGGGCAGGCGGCGGTGAGCCTGCATGGCTGTCGGACAGAGTCCAGGCTCTGGTCCAGGCTCTGGTCCTGTCCTGGGGCGATACGCTGGCAGTGAACAAGGAAGACCACAGAGTCAGATTGGGGTCAGTTTCCCAGCCATCCAGGGAGGCCGGGACCTGAGACCTCCTCTGAGGGCGCCCATCTGATGCCTAATCCCCAGGAAATACAGGCAGGTTTCACCCCGTTCTCTGACCCCTCCCATCTCTTTTCCTCCATCTCATCGTCCATCCCTCCATCCCAGCGTGATTCTACAAGCAGGCAGAAAAGCCTAGTAAATTCAAAGCATCTGTACGGGCAAGGGCCAATCCGAGGCCTGCCTTTCCCAGAGCCCGCGTAGATGAAATTTTATTCTTTGCACGAAAAAATTAGAGGGGGAGGGGGGAGAAAAAACAGAAAATAAAGTAAAGCAAACACTGCGGATAGATCAAGGAGGAGAGGAGATGAGGGGTAAGGAGTTGGTCATCAGAGTTCTGCCCCGCTTTTCATTGTGTTCATAAGAAGAAGGCAATATTATCTTCTTTATGGCCCTGAGTCCTGGCTGGAGCCTGATAACAACAACAGTCTGTTTCAACTGCTACTGGTTTTAGAAAAGTCAAGTGAAAGTGTTGGCGGTGAGCTTGAAGGTAAAAACTATACTAGCCCTGTGTTGTACCTTTTATTTTTTTTACGTTAGAAAAGAGATGTTAGAAGACGGCACTCCTAAAAACCAAATTTGTATACCAACATCAGGATCACAAAACCAATGCTAAGACAATGTATTGCAGGCAGAAGTAGTTGAAAAAAACAACCCTACAATGGCAAGTCACAAAAAAACAGCCTCATCACGAGTAATCATTTCTGATCCTTTAAGTTTTTTTCATTAGTTTTCTTCCTGATGCTGTCACCACTGTCGCCACTTTAATTATTCCCACCTGGGGGTTACAGCTCTTTTTTCCTTTGCAGAACATTAAATGCAGCTTTTTGAATATCGTTGCTTTATATTAATTTAACAGTAAAAACACTCCAGATGCTTAGAGACAGTATGTTTTTTGTGTCTTAGGCACATCTTACATTTGCAATTTGAATCCCATATGTCAAAAATGTATACCAAAACACTTTTTGTGTTTAAATAAGTTATTTGTATGTTTGTCAGCACGGTTACCATTTAGTGCTTCTAACCAACAGCTAGACGAGAATTGTGTTTTGTTGTTTTTGGGGGGTTTATAGCTAGGTTTCCTGCTAGGGACGAAGACATTATGAATTTGATCTTTTCCAAAAACTCAAGTTGCATTTATACTGGACACTTTGACAAACTGTGGAATCTGGGCTAAAACTAGATCTGACTCATCTATACTAAATTACCTGTGACAGAAAATTGCAAACCTGGTTGTCTGAAAAAGTTTTCCTTTCCTCTCTTTGGCTTCACTGCTGCCTGACATGATGGGTAAATCTTTAGCAAAACCAGAGTGAATCTGCAGCACTTTATCACAGGTTTTCAAACAAGTTGCCAAGCTCAGAGAATGTGATGCTTGACCCAATAAAATATAAGTGATTTTATAGTTTTTGGAGCATACAGGGTAATTCTTTTTTATTTTTGTTATTTTTGAGCCCATTTGCTGGACAGAATATTTCTATTGGCCCATTCCGCAAAACAAGAATCACAGTCAGACTTTTTTTTAAAATTAATTGCCAACCTCTTAAGAGGGCCCTTACACTAGTTTGGTTCAACTGAAATTTTATATCCACATGAATGAAGAAATTTTCACCACTATTTTTGCAATTTGAACCAAGCCCGATAAAAATATGATTACTTTTTAAGATAATTTTATTCTTCTCAGTGGCAGGGGGTGGTTACAAAAAAGCACATGTGTTAGTTGATTATGGCATTGGTCAGTTACACTGCCAGGAAAATACCGTTGTCAATCAAATCTGATGAAATTATATTCTCCTATTTTTGAGGAAACCGTTCAGTGCTAATCAAGTCCCTTTCAATCAGACCACATGCAAACAAAACACACAATCTTTCAGGATGAGGTTTTCTTTTAGTGTACATCTTATTGTTTCCCCCTCTGCAACAGCATGTGGTTGTGCATAATCTTCCAAAAAAATGACATCTTTCTGGTCATTTTCCTGGAATTTCCATTCATTTTCATGCTTAGCACCTTCTAAATGGCATCCTGTCGACTCAAGTTTAAAATACCATAGGGCCTTT